CAGCCATCAAAAGAAATGAAATCTTGCCATTTGCAATGACCTGGATGGAACTGGAGGGTATTATGCTTAGTGAAATAAGTCAATCGGAGAAAGACAACTATCACATGATCTCCCTGATATGAGGAAGTGGAGATGCAATGTGGGAGGTTTGGGGGGTAGGAAAAGAATAAATGAAAGAAGATGGGATCGGGAGGGAGACAAACCATAAGAGACTCTTAATCTCACAAAGCAAACTGAGGATTGCCTGGGGAAGGGGGGTAGGGAGAGGGTGGTGAGGTTATTGACATGGGGGAGGGTATGTGCTATGGTGAGTGCTGTGAAGTGTGTAAACCTGGCAATTCACAGACCTGTACCCCTGGGGCTAATAATACATTATATGTTTATAAAATTTTTTTTTAATTAAAAAAAATAAATGTGTTACTTTGCGATTCAGCTGTTCCATTCCTCGGTATTTATTCAAGAGAAGCGAAAGTGTATGTCCATGTGAAGACTTGTATGTGAATGTTCCTGGCAGCTTTGTTTGCAATAGCCAAAATCTGGAAACAACTTAAATGTCTATTAACAGGTGAAGGGATAAATTGTGGTTGGTTTATACAGTGGAATACTACTCAGCAATGGAAAGGAATAAACTGTTGGTTCAAACAATAACATGGGTGAACCTCAAAATAATCATGCTGAGTGAAAGAAGCCAAACAAAAGAGAGGACATGCTATATGATTCTATTTATATAAAATTCCAGAAAACTCAACCCACATTTTAATGACAGAATGCAGATCAGCACTTTCTGTCTGGGGACAGAGGCAGGGAGAGAGGAAAGGATATGAAGGAGCAAGAGGAAACCTTTGAGAGTGGTAGATGAATTCACTCACTTAATTGCTGTGATGGTTTCACAAGTATATGTATATGTTAAAACTCACCAAATTGCACACTTAAGTGCTTGCAGTTTACTTATGTCAGTTATAACTCAAGGTGTAAAAGGAACAATTGTAGAAAAATTTAACATCCACATCTTTCCATGTCCACACCAAGGTTCTCTCTCATTCTTTTTGCTATCTTTATGGTGTTTCATTGTGTGTATGTACTGCGAGTTTATCCACACAGCTTTGGGTGGGTGACTCATCTGTCCTAGGTGACAAGACCCCCTTTTTCCTTTTGGATAAGGCTAAAAAAAAGCTTTTATTTCCTGAATCCGATTAACACATCTGACATCATCGGTCAATGTAATTTCTGAAATCCGCTGCTTCTGGCTATCTATGACCTCTTGTCTCATTGGGCCCAGAAGACTTATTTATCCTAAACATGGAAGCAGATTAAGTGGCCATAAATGACCTTTGCCATAAAATTATGGAGACTCAGAGGTAATCAAATTCAGCCCTCTTCCTTTTACAGAAAAGAAAGCCAGATAAGTGATTTACCTGTGATCATACAGATAGTTAGAGCCCAGAACTCACATCTCTTAGTCTATTTTTTACTGCACAGATGTCAATAATTGCCTTTTTGCCCTAGGGTTATTTGTGTCAGCTCTGGATTAGTACATATTCATCTTTAGGAAAAAAATACAAGCAGAAAACACACTCCATGAGCTATTGTTAAACTGCCTCTCTGGAGGAAGGGTTCTGCATTGAGTTCTTTTTTCATTGGAGCAAAGTGGGGAGAAAAAGAACAATTCTAAAGTAAAAATGAAATCAACTTCCCTGCTGTACCTTGGACTATAAAGCTAAAATATTTCTCAAGAAATGACCACCGTTTTACCTCTTGCAGGCCCTAGGATTTCAACCCGGGCTGTCTGTTTTCATAAAGCTATTGCAAACATCATGTGATAACTTGGAAAGTTTATTCTTTGCTGCCTAAGACATTATAGATTCTGGTTATTTTGTTCTTTTTTTTTTTTTCTGGGTACTTTGTTCTTTGTTTGTGTATTAGTTCATGCATTTTTAATTTTTATTTTTTTAAAAGATTTTATTTATTTATTTGACAGAGAGAGAAATCACAAGTAGGCAGAGAGGCAAGCCGGGGTGGGGGGGCAGGCTCCCTGCTGAGCAGAGAGCCCGATGCGGGGCTCAATCCCAGGACCCTGAGATCATGACCCGAGCTGAAGGCAGTGGCTTAACCCACTGAGCCACCCAGGCGCCCCATAGTTCACTCATTTTTAAACAAATGTCTATAAATGCCTGCTATTTGCCAGGCACTGTTTTAGGCCATGGGATACACTGGTAAATACAAGAAAGTCCCTTGCTTGAGAAGCTTAGATTTTGGGATAGGGAGACACAGACAATATTCAAATGAATATATCAAATCAGATGTTGACAAGTGCTATGGAGAAAATGAAGTGGGCTAAAGGAATAGGGAGTGCCAGGAAAACATGTTGTGTACCCATGCTGTTTTACTTAGGGAAAAGTCTTAATAGTATGGTGATATCTGAGCAAAGACATGCAGCAAATGAGGGAGCAAACCCACCTGGGGGAAAAGCATTGTGGGCAGAGAAAGCAGAAAATATAAAGAGCCTAAGGTGAGTTTGTATTTGGCTTGTTTGTGTAATCTGAAACCAAGTGAGCAAGGTGGTGAGTGGCAGGAGATGAGGACAGCAAGGATGAGAAGCAGATGGGAAGCATCTGGGGGGATGAAAAAGGCTGAGAAGCAGATCATGTGGGACTTTTTTGTCACTCGTAAGGACTCTGTCTTTCACTCTGAGTGACAAGGTATATATGTTTTTTCTATTTTTAAATTGAGGTAAAAATCACATAACGTACCATTCGTCATTTTTGCAATTTTAAGGCACACCACTCAGTGGCTTTTAGTACTTTCCGAATGTGGTGCAACCATCGCCATGGTTTAACTTCAGAACATTTTCATCACTATAGAAAGAAACCCTGTACCCATTAAGCAGTTGCTCCCCATTTCCTCCAGTCCCCAGTCTGCTTTCTCTCTGCAGGTTTGCCTACTCTAGGTATTTCATATAAATGGAGTCATATAAAATATGTCTTGCTTTTTTCACCTCATGTAATGTTTTCAAGTTTCATCCATGTTGTGGTGTGGATCATAACTTTATTTCTTTTTATTGACAGGAATATCTCGTTATATGGATATACCACATTTTGTTTATCCATTCATCCATTGGTAGACATTTAGACTGTTTCTGCCTGTTGGCTATTGTGAATAATGCTGGTCTAAACATTCATGTACAAGTTTTTGTGTGTACACATGTTTTTAGTTCTCTTGGGTATATATCTAGAAGCGGAATTGCTGGGTCATATGGTAATTCTATTCTGGAATTATATTTTATTTTAAAAATTTATTTACTTTAAAGATTTTATTTATTATTATTATTTTTTGTCAGAGAGAGAACACAAGCAGGGGGGAGTTGCAGGCAGAGGGAGAAGCAGGCTCCTTGAAGAGCCCCCGGATTTATATTTTAAAAGCCCCTGGATTTCTATTTTGACTATCCTATTGAGGATAGATTGTGTAGGGACAGGGTAAAAGTAGGGAGTTCAGTCAGGAGGCTGTTGTGACCATATCATGACCAGTAGCTACATGATTGTGGTTTGGACCAAAGTAATGGCAGTGGAGGGGCTAAGAACTGGTCAGATTCTAGACTTAATTGAAGACAGAGCCAACGATATTTGCGAATAGATTGGGTTTGCACTGTGAGATAATGAGGGGAGTTAAGGGAAACTGTTAAGATTTTTGAACAAGAAAAATGAAAGGAGGAAGGTGTAATTCGATGAAATTGATGGAAGAACAGGTTTGGGGAGGATTAGGGCCTTAGTCTTACATTTGCTGTGTCTGAAACATCCAAGTAGGAATGTTAAGTAGGCTGCTAGAAATCCAAGCCTGGTGTTTGAATGAGAGATAAATTTAGGAGTTATTGGTTTATAGAAGATATTTAAAGCCATGAAACTAGATGAGATCATTTAGGGATAATTCTAGATAGTGACAAGAAGCAGCCTAAGGAATAGGCCTGAACACAATCCGAAAATCAGAGGTTTAGGAGCAGAAGGACCAGCAAATGAACCTGAGAAGGGGACTGCAGCAAGGTCAGAGGACCAGGAGAGTGTTGTGTCCTGGCAGCCAAGTGAAATTAGTTGAGATTCTTGAGGAAGAATGATTTTTTCCTTTTTCTTACTGCTCTCACAAATTCCTTGAGGCCCAGGAATGGTGTCCTTCTCTTTAGCAATGAGGACTGCTGTTTTGAATGCCCAGGGTCATCTGTAAAGCTGAGAAAGAATTCTGGTCTTCTGAATATGGTCTTTGAAACATACTTCTTATTTATGTGTCTACTTTAAGCCCCACTGAAGGGATTCAGTCAACAAATACAGGAGTGCCCACTGTAAGGTGGTTTTTCTTGTAGGCATTGGGAACACAGCAGTGAACAAGATATGTGGTTACTGATCTCAGAGAACTTAGTCTAATGGAGGAGAAAAACAGTAAATAAGTCATTTGTTTCAATTATTGGGTAAATTAAATAATTTGTTTTAAAAACATAGATAATTACATATGTGATGACTGCTACTAAGAAATCAGGGCCCTTTTGGAGCATATAGGAAGGTTACTAATCCAGACTTGCAGTGGGGACATAGAGACATCTAGAGGAATTAACATAGAAGGAGAGACCTAAAGAAGGAGTTGATTTAGCCAGGATAGGAAAATGGTCATCGTGAAAAGAACACCCCAGGCAGAGAAAAGAGTAAAAGGGAGAACTTTGGCATATTCACGGAACCAAAAGAGCTTAATCATTCTGGAAATGTAAAGTACAAGGAGGGTGGAGATGGGTCTGGAGAAATGAGCAGGGGGCAAAACCCTAAGGGTTGTCTTGCCATGGTGAGGAGTTTGAACTCAATCCCAACAGCAAGGAGGAACTGCTGAACAGTTTTCTAAGTATACTCAGATATTTATCTTAGAAAGATCACTCAGGCTACCAGTGTGAATGGGTTGGAAGGAAGCCCGACTCCCAGCAAGAGAGTCCATTTCCTCTACTTATCGGTTCTTGGTTTTTATTCTAGTGTGCTGTTTGAAGTGCCCAAGCCAAAAAGCGTAAGGAGTGCACTGGAGGCCGAGAGTGAAAGTCTGGATAGCTACACAGCTGACTCGGATAGCCTGACAAGGTGAAACCCCTATGAGTCCCTGTACCTTCACTTATCCCAAGTCTCCATTTTGTTGTCTGGTTCAGGATGCAGGGCTCCTGTAATGTAGCTTCACTGTGGCTGACTTCTGTCCTCAGCAGGTCAAATGAAGTATTTTCTCTGACCTCACCACAAGTCTTGTCAGTAGTACATCCGCTGTTGGCTCTGAGCACAGCCTTCTAGGGCACACTAATTTCCACAGGCTGCTGCATCTTGAAGGAGTCTTCTTGGACCAGTAGCAACTGCCCCTGATGTCCCTTAGGAATAGGGGAGTGAGTGTGTTTGTGCAAAGTTGCTTATCTGATTGTCTGCATTCCTTCAAGACAAATCAGATGTGGAGTATTACCTTCCGGATTTGGTTACTACAGTGACCCCAAGCCAGTGGATTTCCTTCCATAGAGCTTCCATAGACAGGGAAGGTAAGGAGGTGATTTTGTTATAACTTCTATATCTACCTCCAGGAGAGACTCTCTGGATAAATCTGGCCTCTTTCCGGAGTGGAAGAAGATGTCTGCCCCTGCATCTCAAGTGGAAAAGGTAAGCTTTAGTTACTGGTCAGTTGGGATCAGTTTCTCTCTCTCATTCTCTCTCTCTCTCTCTTCTCGCTTTCTTTCTCCCTTCTCAGGAGCAGTTTACATCAAGAATTCAATGAAACAAATTTCAGTTCAGATTCACTTGGGAGCACTTAAGGTTTTGGTTAAAACATGAGAAAATATGTTTCGTATTACTTCCTAGGATTAAATTAAATTCCTAAGGTTAAATTAATCTTTCCTTTAACTTTGTATAGTTTAACAAAAATCTGAGCCTTGTTCTTCTTAAGGCTCTTTTCCCTTTCTCCATTCTTCCACCTACCCTACAATCCTTTTCCATTTCCTTGCCCTTATTCCTTCCTAGGAAACTCAGCCTGGGGCTCAAAACATGGTATCTATTGATGAGGGTGAAATGATATTTAAGAAGAACACCAGAAAAATCCTCAGGCCTTCAGGTAGGTTTCCCTTTATGGCCTTTGAGATTGAAGTCCTATGTACCCTGGATGTGTTCTTGGTATGGAAAAGAGTAGGTCTCTTATGATTTGGGTTTTTGGTCTTCCATTCAGAATATACTAAATCTGTGATTGATCTTCGCCCGGAAGATGTGGGACATGAAAATGGCTCCTTGGGAGACAGAAGCAAATCTGTCCCAGGCCTCAGTGTAGATATGGTAAGTACCCTTGTATTGGTCACTATATGAAATTGTATAAATCTAGAGTTGACCTTAGTACTCGATACTCTTAATCAACCTGTTTAATTCTTTAGGAAAAGGCAACATGAATCTTGATTCCTCCAAATGCCTAAAGTAAATCTGGTTGCTGAATTCCTTAAAGAAAAAGATTGTCCTCACTGTCTCTTTATCTTCTAATACATTGCTTGATATATAGTTGGGAGCTCAAATACTTATTTTGATAAAAACGTAAAGGGATGTTTGGATTGGGGCAGTCGAATGCGAAAGAGATATTCTTATCTTGTTCTTTTGAGATTGGAGAAAGATGGTGGGAATATAGTTTTGAAGCCTGAAATGGGAGACCTAAAGTAAGGATAATGTGCATGCATGTGCACATGACACCTCAGAGAAGAGCAATAATTATGGCTCCCACTCAAGGAAGTTTATTAGTCTTTGAACTTTTTCTGACTTTATTAACTCTGAATCTATATTTACTGTTCCAGGAAGAGGAAGAGGAAGAAGAAGACATTGACCATCTGGTGAAGCTGCATCGCCAGAAGCTAGCCAGAAGCAGCATGCGAAGTGGTTCCTCCATGGTAAGTTCTATTAGTTCTGTGGCTACAGACATGTTGGGGTACCAGGAATGAAAGAAGTATCTCTCTAGAACAGAGTCAGGACCTGGGGAAATCATCCTAGTCTCTCTTTCCAGGTGAGTGAGATGCATTTGTCTGTTCATATCCTCAGTTTAGACCGTAGTTGCGTAGGGCACAGCTAGGTGACTTTCCTCGGCCTCTGCCCTGGAAATAGTCAGGTAATTAGGCAATTTGGGCTAGAGATGTTCTTGATCACAGCTTTGTGAACAGTAAACCATGACTTCCCTAAAAAGATAAGAGGACTGGGGCACCTGGGTGGCTCAGTGGTTTAAGCCTCTGCCTTCGGCTCAGGTCATGATCTCAGGGTTCTGGGATTGAGTCCCGCATCGGGCTCTCTGCTCGGCGGGGGGCCTGCTTCCTTCTCTCTTTCTGCCTGCCTCTCTGCCTACTTGTGATCTCTGTCAAATAAATAAATTCTTAAAAAAAAAAAAGATAAGAGGACTGAAGTGAGCAAGGTAGTATTTTTTCATCAGAGTCTACTCCAAATCTCACATTTATGAGCATTGTCATGAGAGGGGCCCTGGCAGGGTTAATTGGCATCACGGTATGATTGAAGAGCAGCAATATCAATCAGAATCATGAAGTTAAAGGCACATTTAAGAATTAGGGCCTAGTTCTGTCAGAACTATGAAGATTGGTGTTTAGGGGACAGACAGAGAGTCAGAAACTAAGGTGATTGGGGTTTGTTCCTACTCCCACACAGGAATAGAATGGCAGGCTTACAGAGCTGATTCCTACCTGAGAGGAAGAAGTCTTTTCACCTCTGGTGGGATTTCCCCCCGCCCAAATCTGACATAATCACTTTTTTCTGTAGGTCTTAATAGGGCTAAGGCAGGTAAAAGAAACCCACAGACACAGACACACAGAGAAACACACACACACAATGGAATATTACTCAACCATCAAAAAATTAAATTTTGCCATTTGCGACAACATGGATGGAGCTAGAGTGTATTATGCTGAGTGAAATTAAGTAGCTCACGGAAAGACAAATACCATAGATCTCACTCAGATGTGGAATTTAAGAAACAAAACAGGTGAACATATGGCAAGAGGGAAAAGGAAAAAAAAGGAGAGAGGGAAACAAGCCATAAGGGACTCTAAAGGATAGAGAACAAACTGAGGGTCAGTGGAGGGAGGTGGGTGGTGGATGGGCTAGATGGTTGATGGGTATTACAGAGGGCACTTGTTATGATGAGCACCGGGTATTATATGTATGTGATGAATCACTGAATTCTACTCCAGAAACCAATATTGCATTGTATGTTCACCAAAATTTAAATAAAAAAGAAACCCACAGATAATTAAAGTACTTTGTTTTAATTAGTAACTGGCCCCTGCTAGTCAATGTGTTAGCATATATAACATGACCAGAAGCATAGTTTCATCTTACCCGTACTCCTTGTCTACCTTCTGGGACAGGTGAAAACTAAAAATAAAATTTGTAAAAAGAGGGGAAGAAGAGAAGCTAAGAGCTCAGATGAGCCATGAACTGATTATTAAGCTTAGCAGTTGCAAACATGCTATGCACTGTCTCATCCTCTGGGGCTTCTGAAGATTTTGTTTTGTTCAGTGACTATGGCTTTGTTGTAAGGGAAGATGTGAGCAATGTGGGAAGGGCGATTATTTGCCAGACGTCTGTGGGCACTTTATCTGCAGAGTACAATTGGCAGCATGACGAGCATCTATAGTGAAGCTGGCGACTTCGGCAACATCTTTGTGACGGGCAAGATTGCCTTTTCCCTGAAGTATGAGCAGCAAACACAGACTCTGGTCATCCATGTGAAGGAGTGCCACCAGCTGGCCTATGCGGATGAAGCTAAGAAGCGCTCTAACCCGTGAGTGCTTCTGGAACCTGACTGATTCTCTGAGACAAGAGCTTGGACCCTGGCATCTGTGTGGGCACTCTTGAACTGAGGTTATCACTTCCTGGGCAGACGAGGAGGTGTATTTGAGAGTGGCATGTGGAGATGTGGGAAAGGGACAAGGACTGGGAACATGCTAGAAGGACATGTCTAAGAGGGCTTGCTGTGGCATTTTCATTTCATGATGGCACCTGTATATGGAGAGCAGAGAAGAACGGGCTTGAGAAAAAAACAACAAATGACTCCATACTCTCCTTGATTTCTAGATATGTGAAGACTTATCTTCTGCCTGACAAGTCCCGCCAAGGAAAAAGAAAAACCAGCATCAAGAGGGACACCATCAATCCACTGTATGATGAGACCCTCAGAGTACGTATCTAGATCCTGAGAGTAGAACATGTTCTGTCTCGTGTGCTGAGCCATAGCGATTCCTCTGCTGCAGGGCAAGCCTGGGTGATACGGTTTTCTGTGGCCACGTGTGTGTCTGAAGATAGGCCATGGGCATCTGTTCACATACTAACCCCTCAGAGAAGAGAACAAAAGTGTTCTGACTTTTTTGCATTGTTGTGAAATTGGAGTCATGTGACCACAAATCTCATTTTATTTTTTTAAAGATTTTATTTATTTGAGAAAGAAAGAGAGAGAGAGAGAGCTCATGAGTGGGGTGAGGGGGTAGAGAGAGATACAGGCTCTCTGCTGAGCAGGGAGGCCTGGATGCAGGGGTTCGATCCCAGGACCCTGGGATCATGACCTGAGCTGAAGACAGATGTTTAAATGACTGAGCCACCCAGCTGCCGCCACAAATCTCCTTTTAAAAAGTCATTTGGGATCAGAAGTTTCTGTGGCAGTCTGTTTTGAAGATTCTGTTGTTCTTGCACCCAGTCAAGGAAAAATTAAGTTTCCAGGTCCTACCATAGGATGTGGAAGATTTTTGTAAAATGGGGGGTAAGTGAAGGCTTTGACTGAGGAAACTCAAAGCACTTAGGGACTACAGTAATTTGGCATTCAGGATTATGGAATTTGGATGTGGTTGCTCAGATTTTGGAATAATCTTTTCTGAGGAATTACCGTGAACTAATCATCTTGGGCTTCTTTCTTTCGCAGTATGAGATCCCAGAATCTCTTCTGGCCCAGAGGACTTTGCAGTTCTCAGTTTGGCATCATGGTCGTTTTGGCAGAAACACTTTCCTTGGAGAGGCAGAGGTCCAGATGGATTCCTGGAAGCTTGACAAGAAACTGGATCATTGCCTCCCTTTACACGGAAAGGTAGTCTTCTTTAACAACTCCTTACACAGGTTGAATCCAAGGTAGCACAGTCTGCAGGGACTCTGCTGCTACCTGTTGGTAGTGTCTTCAAATGAGTTTGACCGTAACCTCAGAGGCACTTGCATGTTGAAGGTGTTATCTCCTTGTAGGCCAGGCAAAGGATGAAGCCATCGTTTTCCATTGAAAAGTCTTTCATATGTGTGTCAAGCTTTGCCTCATAACATTCCAGAGGCTGGGCATATCCTAGCATCCTAACTTGCACCTCTTCTCCAAGCTAACCTTCTGGGTGTCTCCTACTCACTTCTTTTCCAATCTCCTCTTTTCATTAAAGAAGTGGAAAGTAAAACAAACAATTCAGGGAGTCCTAATTGTGCTCTTTGTCACTCAAGCCAGGAAAAATTTTACTTTGGTGATGGCACCTCAGGCAGGATTGTAGCAGTGTCCAAAATTGTGCCTGGGATTTGAGTGCAGGCCAGGATTTGCCAACTAGGTAAGTCACCCCTGTTATAAAATAACTTAGGTAAATCACTTAACTTCTGTGACTCTCAGTTTATTCATCTACAAAATGGAGATCATAATAATATTCCTCTTTTGCAGGCTTGTCCACAAAGGGCCAAGCAATGCCTGGTACCTAATGGGCATTCAGTAGGTTATTGTCATTCCGGTTAAGATGAAATTGCTAAAACAGAGTTAGGATTTCTTGATGATCTGGACTGTTTGATGGCAAGGTTCCTTGGTAAACTTTTTTTTTCACTAACGTTTTCCTTTTTGATTGTTATTTTCAGTTAGCCAACATATAGCGCATCGTTAGTTTTTGATGCATACACTAGCATTTTCAATGCTAAAAATAGGACATGGTGCATAGACTATTTTTGAAAAGAAATATAGGAAACTAGTAGCAGTGGCTGCCTCTGGGAAGAGAGACTGAGGTGAGAGAGCAATTTAGTTTTCTCTGTATGCCCTTTTAGAACGTTTGAATTTTTTACCATGTCTATATATATTGCTTATTTTAAAAATTAAGAATAAGAGGATTTGTGTGCATGTGGTTGGAAATTGCAATGACATAGATGTATATAAAAAGAAAAGTACATTCCATTCCCTAGAAAAAAGCACTATTATCAACTACTTGGATATCTTTATAGAGATTTTATATTGAGCAGCATGAATATGCACGTAGGGATTTATATTTTTTCTTTTTTATACAACTAGGCTTGTATGAACCTCATCATGTACGTATATCTTGATTTTTTCATTTGACAATTCATTATTTATCGTGGACATCTTTCTCTGCCATCACTTACATATCTGTCTCATTTTCATTGCTGTATAGTGTTCTTTCATGTGCCTGTATTATAAATTGTTGGCTCTTTTGCTGTTAAAACTATGCTGTACTATATCTTCACCTTCTTATGTGAATGTGATGTAGGAGAAGTTTCTGGTGGTAGAATTGCTGAGTCAGTCATGCAATATTTTGATAGCTACTTCCGTAAAAAATATTAACAATGTTAAATCTGCCCCTTTAAATACTAATAAAGACAGGAAAGCAGTTATCACCAATCAATAGCATATTACTGGAAATGTAGAATCTCTCTCCTTTTTTAAAACATTTTATTTATTTGAGAAGGAGAGAGAGAGAAAAAAAGAGAGCGAGTGTGCATGTGAACACAAGCTGGGGGAGGGGTAGAGGGAGAGGGAGAAGCAGACTCCTCAATGGGCATGGGGCCTGATGAGGCTAGATCCCAGGACCCCAGGATCATGACCTGAGCCGAGGGCAGATGTTTAACTTACTGAACCACCCAGGTACCCCAGAGACGTAGAATTTCTTAAGCATCTGGCACGTGACTCATTCTCTCAGGGGCTTATGGTTGATATAATGATACTGGAAATGTCACCCTAAACCATTATGAACTACTGCCAATAAAAGTGTCTTACATCAAAAGAAAAAAAACTGCATTAAGATGGAGGTATTTGCTCTTTGCAATTATTTCGAGCTAGAATAGATATGCTACTGAAAAAACACACCAGTTTATAGCAAAGGCTAAACCCCAGTTTTAAGAGTCTACTGAAGTTCACAATCTGGAAATGAATAAGTTGTGTAGACATTTATAAACAATAAAAAGTCCACTCTGGCATTAATTATCTATTTTAACTTAAAACACTGCATTTATTGCCTCTGATCTATCCCCCCCACCCCGCCCAGCAATCCATTTGCTCCCATTCAGCTCCCGTTCTCTTCCTGGCATCCACCTTCCTATTCTTTTGTATCTCTCCCATACACTAAACTGTGCATCTGGGTATATGGTACATTCTTCCAAGCCAGTGGGACTTATGCCTTCCCGGCATTGGTATACTCCATGGTGAGGACCTAGGTGAGAGGAGCCCCAGTGAACACAGGCAGGTGAAAGGGCAAGTCTGGTCTGCACCAGCTTATGATCTGGATACCAAAAAGTAAAGAACAGAATCACGCCTAGAGAGCCAATAGAGTGAAGCAGTTCTGGAACCAACAGCCAAAGACAATAGGCCACTTGCTGCTCATTCCAGATATTCATTCCTTCATTCTTACACTCATTCAGTAAATATTTGTGGAGCACCTACTACGTGCCAGGTACTTGGCTAAGTGTCAGGCCTACTAGGCCGAGCAAAACTAGGGTGATTCCTGTCCTCCTGCCATTTAGGTTCTAGTGGTAGAGACAGCCATTCATCAAAAGTAATGTACAGATAAAATTAGAAATTGTGGCATGCTCAAATCTTAGCAACAGAGTTCCACCTAGCCTTCAAATCTCTGCAAACTCTCTTTAAAAAAAATATACTTTTTATCTTAGAAAGTCATACAAGCAATACATACCATTCTCTTGAAAAAGACTGTGTATATATATGTATAGACACACACACACACACACACACACACACACACACACACACACAGGCAAAAGTGAAAGCCCCCTTTCCTTTCCCCAGTCCACTCCTCTCTGGAGAATAAACAAGTGTTAAGTTTGTATGTATCCTTCAGGGTTTTTCTTTTTCTTTCTTTCTTTCTTTTTTTTGGTCAGGAGAAAAAGATACAAATTTATCCTATGCAGTGTAGTATAGTGGTTAAAAGCATAGACTCTGGAACTAGTCTATCTGAATCTGAATCCTGCCTCTGCCATTTGCTAACTGTGTGACCTTGGGCAAGTTACTTAACCTCTCTGTTCCATAATCTGTAACATGGGGCTAATAGTCCCTATAGTGTCATACCTATGTGTAATCTTGAGGATGACACAAAATGATATACTTAAAGTACTTATAACATAGTAAGTACTATATAAGTGATAATTATCATTATTTACATACATACATATTCACATGTATAAACATGAACATATGTCAATATAAGCAGGATACTTTTTCTGCATTTTGCTTTGTTGACTTACTAGTATGGCTTGGGTATCTTTCTCAGTCAGCACGTATGGATTCCCTGGGTTGTTTTTGATGATTGCATGCTGTAATCCAGACGCCATCTGTGGGCATTAAAATCACTCACTTAACCTTTTCTATATTGATCAACATTTAGGTTGTTCCACTTTTTGGCTTTTACTAAGAATGTTGGTAGCAAGATTCCTCATCATGGTATCCGTCGCCTGTGAGTCTGTGTGGCAACTTCACTGGAAGACCTTTGAGGGCATTTGGAATCTAGTCAGTGTATCCCCCAAGTAGCAAAACAGTGGGCATTGCAGAAGAACTTCACTGTTTTTTCTCCAGCTCTTTCTGAAGGAACTGTCTTAGAATCCTGTGGCTGCCATGGCCTAGGTACCCTGGATTGTATCCATAAGGAGGATTCTCTCATGTCATGAAGCTGTTCTAGGGGTCAATTTTCGAGTCTCCTCAGCAAGAGGTCCCAACAACTCCTGAGAAGCCCCGCTTGACCTGTCGGGTTTCCCTGTGTTTCAGATCACTGCTGAGTCCCTGACTTGCTTGCCATCACACAAAGGCGAGTTGGTGGTTTCATTGAAATACATCCCAGCCTCCAAACTCCCTGTTGGAGGTGACCGGAAAAAGAGTGAGTTTTTTGGGGGGGGTGGGGATGTTTGCTGGATTTAGTCCTTGGTGTTCCGTACAGGGCATCTGTGAGATAGTGCAGCTGGTGGCCAGCTCTGTTGGTGAGACAAGATTGAGATGCTCCTTGGATCATCTTCTAGGGAAGATTCCTTTACTAAGAAAGCCTTTTCTGCATCATTTTCAACCAGAAGGGAATATCTTAGCATTGGCACTCGTTTTTGTTTTTTTTTTTTAGGCCATTAAACTGACTTGGTATCAGTCCAGGTATAGCAAGCTATTAAGAGGGCAGATTAGAACAGAAACTTTGGGGGTGAGAAAGGGTGGTTGCACGGGGTGGTGAAATGTGAGGGACAGGAAGTTAAAGGTCAAGGCAGAGTAAATGAACACACCGGGCGCTGTGCCAGTGACTAGGGACATGTAGATGAATAAGACATGTTTGCCCTCCCTAGAGAAGCTTAGTGTAGTGAGGATGACAGTCATATGTTGAAAGAGCACAGATACAGGAGTGATGAATTCTCTCTGGTTACATTTGGGGAGAAATCGAAAGAGGAAGTAAGGACGAAACTGGACTTCAGAAGAGGATGGGGTGAGAAGAGCAGTTCCAGAAGAGATAGCAAGAGGAAAGGTTTTAAAAAAGGCATGGTAAACGTGGGGTTGGATGTAAAGTGTGAGGTAGTGAACTCCTTTTTTTGGTGGTGCTGAGGTTATGGTTTGTATATGGGGGAGTGGAGCTGCAGTTGCCTGACTGAAAAGGGCTTTGAACATAACAGTAAGGAATTGAGTTTGACCCACTGGTGCAATGGGAAGCCAAAGTTCTTGGAAAAACTGTTGCAGGGTCTAATCCATAGGATACAGGGTTCAACAAGACCCCCAAGAAGGGTGTGTGGGATGACTAGAGAAGAGAAGCAAGGAAGGGACCGTAGGAAAGAGCAACACTTTAAAGGATGAAGAGAGGACAGAAAGCTAATGAGGTAGAGGGTTATTTTAGGAAAGAGCTTGCACAAGAAAAGAACAGAGGTTGTCAATAGTGTTGAAATACAACTGGGATGTCAGGCCGGTGAGGACCAGGAAGACATGGCTCATCAGCGTTAGGTTGTCTTTTCAGTGGGTTAGTGGAAGCAGAAGCCAGCTTTTACCAGAAATTAGGCTGAGTGAATAAAGCAAAGAATTAGAAGTAGTGAGTGGGGACTCTTTTTTTTTTTTTAATTTTTTTTTTAGGATAATTGATGGTGAAAGAAAGAGGTAGGGGTAAAGGGAGATTTTCTTTTTAAAGGATTTTTTCTTCTTTTAAGAGATTTATTTATTTGAGATGGGGGGGGGAGGGCATAAGCGAGAGGGAGGGGCAGAGGGAGACAGAGAAGCAGACTCCCTGATAAGCAGAGAGTTCAATGTGGGGCTCGATCCCAGGACCCCAGGATCATGACCTAAGCCGAAGGCAGACACTTAACCAACTGAGCCACCCAGGCGACACTTTTTAAAGGATTTTCAAAAGAAGAGGTGAGATTAGTGTATATTTAGACTGAGGCGACAGGACTAGTAGAGGAAGAGATATTAAAAATGGGAGGTGGGTTCTCCCTCTGCCTCTCCCGCCTCCCCGGCTTTTGCTCTCTCTCACTCACACATACTCTCTCTCTCAAATAAATAAATAAAATCTTTAAAAAAGTGTGTGTGGGGGGGTGGAGTGCGCTCCTGGGTGGCTCAGTGGGTTAAACATCTGCCTTTGGCTCAGGTCATGGTCCCAGCGGCCTGGGAGTAAACCCTTTATCCAGCTCCCTGCTCAGCAGGGAGTCTGCTCCTCCCTCTGCCTCTCCTCCCTGGCTTGTGCTATCTCTCTCTGTCTCTTTCAAATAAATAAATAAAATCTTAAAAAAATGGAAGATGGGGGTTGAAATTGATGATGCCTGATGCGTCCTGCGAAGTGGGCATGGGATCAAGAACACACGTAGGGGATTTCCCTTTTTAAAAATCATTCAACAAATACCAGGCAACTTCACTTCTCTAAGCCTCCACTTTCCCATCTATAAATTAGGAATAAGAGTAGATACCTTCTACTGTTGCTTTGACAATTAAATGCTTAATGTAGAATCAGGCACATAGCCAGTTTTCTAAAAAGCATTTATTGCTACTATTGTCCTTACTAGTTGAGTCAGGCACTGTGTTAGGTCCTGAGAGTGGAAGTCAGATGTGGTCCAGTTGTCATGGAACTTGCTGCCTTCAGGAGCCAGGGATGGAAGGTGCTCTGTAGGCAAAGGTCAAGAGAAATCTGAAGTGGGGAGGGGATCAACTTGTTATGGCTGACCTCCCTTGCAGGTAAAGGTGGGGAAGGGGGAGAGCTCCAGGTGTGGATCAAAGAAGCCAAGAACCTGACGGCTGCCAAATCAGGAGGGACTTCAGACAGCTTTGTCAAGGGGTGAGTCCCTGGCCAGTACCAAACTAACCAGTTCTGGGACAAGGAAACTAAGAGAGGAGCCCAAATTAACCTTTCTCTGTGGATATTATCCTTGTATATCCCACTGCCTCCAGCAGCCAACTCTGTTCCTGAAAATAGGTAATGGGACAACCTCTACAACCACCTTTGTCCTGGACTGTGCTATAGTGTGGATTTCCAGAGAGGAGGGTGGTAGACAGACAGGCTGGACTTTTCCTTTGTTACAACTTTGGCTTTATTATAATGAATCCTGAATCAAAAGCTATATCCCCTGACCGTTAGGATTTAGGAACTCAGGACTGTGCTCCACACAATACTGAAGCAACACCAGCTCCTCCCGCCCCAATGATAGATCATCCCGCTGACTTAAGTTCTCTAGCAAATCATGGTTGGCTAGGCCTATAGTTAGCGACTGTTGGTTTTCTTGAAAGAGGACCTTATCCAGGAGAAATATTTAAATCAAATATTTAAAACCCATGTTTGGTTGAGTATAGATAAGGGTTTATTAATGACACTGTATTAATTTTCTCTCCAGGTTAAAGGAATTGAATCAGGTGAATGATCCAGTGGGGGTAGTGGGAAGTTTGCTTCGGGATATCTGGAGGAGGGAGTGTGTGCTAGCATCCGCCTGACGACCTCCCTCCCTGGGCTAGGCCTGCACCAGGGGAAAGGGGAATTTAGACAGGTATTTGCCAGCTTTGAGTAGGTTATTGATTACTCCCTGCCCTCTGCCAGATATCTCCTTCCCATGAGGAACAAGGCCAATAAGCGTAAAACTCCCGTGATGAAGAAGACCCTGAATCCCCACTACAACCACACATTTGTCTACAATGGTGTGAGGCTGGAAGATCTGCAACACATGTGCCTGGAACTGACTGTGTGGGACCGGGAGCCTCTGGCCAGCAATGACTTCCTGGGTGGGGTCAGGCTGGGTGTTGGCACTGGTGAGAGCCTGTCCCCGGTCCTGACTATTTTAAAGGCCTCTTGCATATTTTTCAGTCCTCAGATATCCGTAGCCCTTCCTTCGGAGCCTCTCTATGGCAAAAGCAGTCTTCTTTTCTTTCAGTTAATGTCTGGTCACAATTGACTGAATGCCTACTATGTGCAGGCCTCAGGGGAAGGCTGAGCTCATGCACTGTTAATGGGTACACATGAATGGGACCCTGATTGCCAGGAATGCTGCCATCTTACCACCAAAAAAATCTAAAAACCTACCTGCATCCATACGGATAATTTCCATCTTCTATCCTGTTGTAACAAAAGAGGGGCCTTTCTAGCAAAGTCCATGCTCTTTCCAAGTATTCCGGATCATACCCTAACCTTCTTAACCTCAAGCTTTTGGAATCTTCTTTCTCTCCTGTCTGATCGCTTTCATTCCCTCTACCTCCCTACTGGAGGAGAAAACCGATAAGCTCTGATATTGCCAATCTTTAAGAAACAGAAATTAACCTTTTCTTTACCCTACATTCCCACTTTTAATTTCTTAAAAGGAATTGTCTCTACTTCCTCGCATCTCTTTTAGTCCTCAGTCCACTGTGATCTGGCTTCTGTCTCCCTTTTTCTTGAAATACTTAGCTCCTACTGATTCTGCATTTGTCTTTGGAGCTTTCTTATTCTCTACCCAAACTCTAAATACTGGTGTTTTTCAGGGCTTAGTCTTGAATCCTTTTTCCTCTCTGCAGTCTCTTCATACCTGCAGCCTTAAATACTACTTGTATATTAAGAAGTCATATAAAGCACTTAACCCTAAGTGTCTAGAATGAGGTTTTCACAAACGCAGGCAAGTTCGTATCAATCCCCCACTTAAAACCCTTCGGGGGCTCACTCCTGTGCTTCGAAGACAATCCAAAGTTCTTGCCATTCTGACAGGCCCCTCCAGATTCTGGACCCTTTTGTTCCTTTATAATCTATCCTTATATCACTTTTCTGCTAGCTCCCTGTGCTCCAAACACAATGACTCTTTCTGCTCTCCAAATATACCAAGCTCATTCCAGCTTCAGAACCTTTGCAATTATTGTTAACCTCTCTCTGGCTCCTTCCCATCCTTCAGTGTTCTACTCAGATGTCTCCTTGGAGAGGCACCCAGACCATTCCAGCTAAAGGAGGCCCTAATCTAGGCACCACCGACCACCCTCTTTAGTTACTTCATGACACTTATCTCACTATCTGAAGTATTCTTGACTTCCTTGTAAATGTTGTGTTTCCTCTATTCAAATGTAAGCTGCCTATAAGGCAGGACTTTTTTTCTTTTCTTTTTTTTTTTTTTTTTTTGCTTTGTTCACCACTGTATCTCCGAAGCCTCAAAGAGTACCTGGTACACGGTAGGTACTCAATAATTGTTTGTTGAAAAAATGAATGTACAAGACAGTAGGAATGAGGCCACATCCTATCCGAACCTCAGGCCTGGAGTCTATAGCTAGAGAAAAAAAGGTGTTTAGCTGCTGCCTCTCCCACCCCTCACACCTCCACCTTTTTTTTTTTTTTTTTTAAATTTCCAGTTGAGTTGGCAGTGATAGAAAGGCAGTAGCTCTGGCATGAGGTGTCAGACATAAGAGCTCTGTCATGGCCTCAGAAGGAGAGATCTGAAGTCACTGTGTGCTCTTTGGAGTCTCATTTCTTCAATCTGAAGTCTCTTGATTGAGTCTCGGGAGCACAGAGACAGCCTTGCCAAGTCACTAGGGAGCAGTTCCCAGACGGCCATCCCCATCCACCCATCTCCCTAATATGCTGTCTTTTGTGGGATGGCTACCCTTGTCATGTAACCCCTCTTTCCTGGGAGGAGGGTGGCTGAGGCATGGGTTCCCTGTTCAGCCGCTCCTCTGGTGTTTCTCCTCAGGGATCAGTAATGGGGAAGTGGTGGACTGGATGGACTCGACTGGGGAAGAAGTGAGCCTGTGGCAGAAGATGCGACAGTACCCAGGGTCGTGGGCAGAAGGGACTCTGCAGTTGCGTTCCTCGATGGCCAAACAGAAGCTGGGCCTATGAGTCCCCGTCCTTCTCTGCAGGTCCAGCCCTGTCCAGGGCAAGTCAGAGGACATGAAGAAACCAAGAGCAAAGATTTATAATGTGTGTGTGTGTATGTTTGTGTGTTATGTATGTGTGTGTATGTATAAACACGTATTTCTACAATTCTCATTATGCTAGAGTCATGCAGACTCTTTCCCTTTCCTAAAGTAGGCTCAAGAGTAAGGGTCTGTTCCAAATGTTTTTATTTGTGCTTCATCTAGTATATTTCCAGAGTCCATGCGTATATCCTTATGATCTTTAATTAACTTAAAATCTTTTAAAACAAGCTTTTTAAAAAAATCCCCTGTCTTGCAGTGCTTTTCCTCCTTCCCCAGGAAGCTCTGGCTACCTTTGGCATTCATACAGGTCTGTGTTGGATGGTGTGCCTGGTCTGAGGCCAAGGCTCTGGGAAGCAGGGTTGGGTTAATAAAGGTAGGAGAAGATGGGAGAGAGGTGAGCAGGTCTGCCCCCTTCCTTTCCAATTTCTGTTTTTAACTCCATTTTTACCTTGATAAATTTCTGGAACTTAGCTTTTAACTCTTCGTGTTCTTAAGCAGTTTTTGTAGCGCTTGGGTCTCATGGTTTCCTTTGAAATGCTAAGAAAATTCCCAAGTTCCTTCCAGCTCCAGACACCTTCACTAGACCTTTAGCAGACCCTTAAAATGGAGCTGCTTTAGGAAAAAAAAAAAACACTTTAGTTAGGTAGTGACTGAGTCATGGACATGCCCCAAATGGCTTCTCGTTGGTCTCATAGGACCCGACTGGCTGAGAATGAAATGTCTCCCAGCCCATGCTGCATTTTTGCATTTTATACAGATACAGCTGTTGTTGGAGAGCTCCTCATTTCTTTAATAAAAGACATCTTCACCTTCATGTGCCACATCTTTCTGAGTGCTTGTGTCCACGGTGTGGTACCACACAGAATATGGTCTACGTACCATCATGCCAGCCAGAATAGCCAAGTACTGTCTAAACTGGCCCAGTGTTGGGGCACCTGGGTGGCTCAGTTGGTTAAGCATCTGCCTTTGGCTCAGGTCATGATCTGGGGGTCCTGGGATCGAGCCGCACATTGGCCTCCCCGCTCAGCGAGGAGCCTGCTTCTCCCTCTCCCTCTACCCCTACCCCCTGCTTGTGCTCTCTTTCTCACATTCCATCTCAAATAAATAAATAAGATCTAAAAAAAAAAAAAAAAAGTAAGCTGGCTCAGTGTTTCTCCAGACTGGGCACTGTTAGTACTCTAAGAGAATGTGTTCAGAAAACCTCCTAGTTATTCTGACTTCCTTCTTGAAGTGACTTCAGTTTCTATTTTTCCTATTGTTTCCTAAATGTGACCTAGATGTAATGTGGATGTGATGCATTGAGACCTTTCTAAGAAGGGTCTAGTGACCTGAGTTTCTTTTCTGAAACTCACTATACCAAACGGACCTTTTTATACTTGCAAGTGTATCTACACAAAGTTGTTTGTGAAAGGAGTCTATACCAGAGAAATGATCCCCTTTGGTAGAGTCTGCTGATTTCTCCTAGAAGGGCCATTAGATCAAGGGCAGCTGCTGTGGTTTCTACTGTATAGGTGAGCCGAATGGAGGAGTGTTTTTTAAAAGGTTTGTTTGTATGGCTTGATGCTATATTGGAAAGCATAATTTGGAATCCTGGTCTGTAACTCGCTCCTTTGTTCTCCATGCCCTGAAATGTATGTGTGCTTCAATAAAGCTTTCACACTTGTCAAGTGTTTGCATTTGTTAGTTCAACTGAGGCTTTTCTCTCTGATGTCCTCACTTACTGCAGTTGCTATTCAGTGGCTTGATGGGAAAGAACCAAAGAGACAAATACCTTCCCTAAGCATACACTGTACTGATTGGGAGAAAATTTTCCTTTCCTTATGTTGCTGCCTGATACCTCTGCTGAGCTCTGACCTGTTGACCTTTGTGTTTGGTATCTAGGGAGAGACCTGAGAAACCATCTTAAAATTGGCACCACTTTTCTTTCTCTCTCAAGTACCAGAGGAACTCCTTCTCGAGCTTTGTAGCCCCCTACCACTGGAAGGAGAAAGTTGTGCACAGGGGAAGGAAGATGTTCTCTGCTGTGTTTCTTTCTGGATCCTTCGATATCTCTAGGAGGTAGGGCCTTTTCCCTTCACCCCTTCTACCATTATTTAGTTTCGGGAAATAAATAACACAGATGCTAAGCAACCCATCTCAGAAATAAGGTCCTGGGTTTCTAGGGAGAGCCCAAGTGATTCTTGACCTCTTGTGCAAAAAGACATCAATATATATTGAATGTCTTTTGTGTACAAAGCTTTATGCTAGACATATTATATGTCATTTCCTTAATTTCTCCAAGCACCTTATGAAGTAGGAAAATTTCCCTTTTTACAGAAGAGGAAAGTCAAGTCCACTATTGTATAACAGAGTTGGCCTTTGAATCAAGGTCTGATTCCACTGTATCATGCTACTTCCTGCAAGGGCGTTATATGTGTTACGGGTGAAGATTCAAAGGAAGGGATGACTCTGTTTTTCTAAAATATCTCAAAGAAATAAGTTTAGTCTACAAGGTAGGATAATCAGGATGCTTTGAATGTTACCTAAGCAGCTGATGGACTCAATGTCTTGTGCACATTAGTGTGTGTGTGTGTGTGTGTGTGTGTGTGTGTGTGTGTGTGTGTGTGTATGAGATATATGGGGAGATGGAGATGGGGGTAGTTGGGAGGCAGAGAGAGAAAAACAGATATGTACAAGGTTGGGGTGAGGCGAGCCCCCTTGTCTGGCTGTGAGCTTGATTCTGCTGCCGCCCCTTCCCCCTACTTTAGAGGCTGAAATTTTCTGAATCATAAGGCAAAAGAGGTTACAGTGAGGCTTAACCTAAAGAAAGCGATATTGACTTGCCTATCTGACTACTCAATAAAAAGAAAAGCTTTTCAGTTTTTCGAAGCTAGAGGAACATTTCTATCAGGCCCAGGTGGAAACTCGGTTCAGGTTGTCATTCATGTTGTCATTTGGGCCTTTGACCGGCTAGCATGCCCTGGCTTGCCACTTGACGTGTAAGTGATAAAGACAAGGCAGGGCATTTATTCTGACTAATGTGCAATCTTTGCCTTTGGAACCATAGACCTCGTCTGACCGGAGATTTCCCACATTAGCTCATTGTATTTTGTCTTCTGCCCATAACTTGTCTTTTGACTTTCCAAGCTCCTGTATTTCCCTGGAGGGAAGAGGGAGAAGGGACTTTTTTGCTCCAGGTTTGATCATTCACTCCATGTCCTGGTCCACTCAGCCACTACCTCACTTTTTATTTTGCATTTTACAAAGGGGATTTCCACTAAGCCTGCAGTGGAAACAGCTTCTTTCTGACTCACTACTACCCTCTCTGTTCTGGGCTCATGATTTTTATCCCATTCCTCTTCTTTGGAGAGTGGATTTTCTTGGGTTGAGAGCTCCCAGTTCCCTCTTTCCTCCTGGGTCCACTCCCAAGTCTTGTGCTGAGTAGGATTACTTAGAGAAGTTGAAACCCTTATCTTTGCTTGGAGCAGTCAGCTGTCTTGAAATGACAAGTCAAAAAGGCAGGGACAGTACAGCATAATATTTAAGAACATGGACTCCAGAGCCAGCCTGCTGGTGTTTAAATCCCAGCTTGCACTTACTAGCTGTCTGATCTTAGGCGAGTTGCCTAACCCCTCTCAGCCTCAATTTCCTCATCTGTGAAATGGGACTAATCACGGGACCTGCTTGAGAAGGTTCTTGTGAAGATTCCAAGTTGGTGGATAGAGTGTTCAGAATGGCACTCAGTACATAGTGAGGACTCAAGCATTAGCTCTGCCTCTCCACTCAGCCTGCTTTCTTCTCTCCTGTAATTTTCCACTGGGGACCCCTAGGCAAAGCCAAAGGAGAAATGACCCTGGGTTCCATGAGAGTTAAAAAGAAAGTTCTCATACATTATATGTAAATAAAAAATAAATAAAATTTGCAAAGAAGGGGGAAAAAAGAAGAAGGTTCTCAGCAGCACGGGAGGGATACCTTTTCTCAAATAAGGACACACCGTAAAGTGTTGCTGCATTTCAAAATGGCCCAGCCTCAAATTTACTTTCAGGCCCGGCTCTTAAAGCTTGATTTTGGGTTGTGGCAACTCCTACCTGCTCTCTGCTCACCTCTTAAAAGGGATCTGTTGGGCATCTGCCTTTGGCTTAGGTCGTGATTCTGGGGTCTTGGGATCGAGCCCCTCATCAGGCTCCCTGCTCAGTGGGGAGTCTGCTTCTCCCTCTCCCTCTGCTGCTCCCCGCTGCTTGTGTTCCCTCTCTCTCTCTATCTCTCATATTTCCTTTTTAAGGATCTGAGTAGGGCGACTGGGTGGCTTAGTCATTAAGCATCTGCCTTTAGCTCAGGTCATGATCCCAGGGTTGCTGGGATCAAGCCCCACATCGGGCTCCCTGCTCAGCAGGAAGCTTGCTTCTCCCTCTCCCACTCACCCTGCTTGTGTTCCCTCTCTCCTTGTCTCTTTCTCTGTCAAATAAATAAATAAAAATCTTTTTTAAAAAAGGATCTGAATAATACGTGAAGCTGAATCTTTTTTTTTTTTTCCTTCTCCACTAGTTCTACAGAGGGTTGGAGTGATGGTTTACAGGTTGCCTAGATCATGAGCTGAGGGCTTCCCTGAGGAAGGGACAGCCCTGGCTGCCTTTTGCTGGGGAACTGGAGGCTCAGTAAGAAGAGATTTTTGCCTACGAGCCAGCTAGAGGGGCCAGTACCAAACATTCTGCTCTGGCCTGATCCATCTTCCTCAGCGGCCTCCCATGGCCACATTTTCCTTATTTTTACATGAAGCAATGGTTAACATCACATTTGTAAGCCAATCCCCTAAAAGAGCAAAGGACAAGCTCAAGATCTTGAAGCTCCCACCCAGTGCCTCCAATGATACAGCTCACCTGTAGGGGAAAATCCCCCTACACTTGCTTATGTACATGTCCTGCTTATCTGTTGTGACAGTGCTGCCCTCTGCTGTCACCTCCGGGTAGAGGAACCATTTCAAACACAGCCAGTTGGTGTATGAATTGAGAATTTACTATCTTGGAAGACTTTGGAGAGTAGCGCAGGGGACCAGATTGCAAAAAGAAGACTTTCACCCCAAGCCCATTGCCCAGGACCTGTCCTCAGTCCCTGCCTAGCTTCGTATGCTCCTCCAGTGCTACTTAAAGCAGAGACTTGCTTAGGGAAACTATTACACAGCCCCACAAAGGGGCCCAGGAATGTCCCAGAATTGGTGAATCTCACCCACCTCAGAGTCCTAT